CCTTTGCAGGTGTTTTGAGTTGATTAGCTGATTGGCATGTCACCATATTCTAATTTTTTGAGATAGTGAATTGGTGGGTTTTTGTTAAATGTGAGCCAAAATCATCACAATTAAAAGAACCAAAGACTTAAACTACTTCAGTCTGTGTGCATTGAATTTATATAATACACGAGTTTCACTATTTGAGTTGAATTACTGATGAATGAACTTTTCCACGATATTCTAATTTATTGAGATGCACCTGTAAGCCTGGAAAAGCATCACAAAAGAAGAATGCAACAGTTTGGTGATCTCAGTGCGTTGCAGGCTTGTTGCAGATATTGCAAGCAAGGGATATACTGTGCAACCACATATTAAGTGTTATTTACTTTAAAACTATCTGTTTCTATAATTTTGCTTACCTAAAAAAACAGGTGTGGGTGTGATGTTCTAAGTTGTCTAACAGGAAATGAAAGCTGAAATTCTGATCCATCATCTCATATTCAGAGGGAAATGTATGTCTCAACACAGCTTGATCACGGAGGTCTATGGAGAGTTCCTTGGACTTCAGTGACTTGGTTTTTGGTCTGACGTGCACAGTGAATTGTGGGACCTTGTACACACAGGTGTGTGCCTTTTGAAATCAAGTCACGTCTGCAGTTACATCTGCAGTGGACTGCAGTCAAGTTCTAGAGATATATCAAGATGTAAAAAAGCAAACAGGATGGACCTGAGCTCATTTTGTAGTGCCTTAGCCAAGGGTCTGAATACATGGCTAAATGAGATTTCAGTTTTTGATTTTGAAAAATGTGTAAAATTTTCTAAAAACATGCTTTTGCTTTTTCATTATGGAGTATTGTGTGTATGTTCATGGCCAAAAAAGTTTAATCAATTTTAAATTAAATCTTTAATACAATAAATTGTGCAAAAACTGAAGGGTCTGAATTATTATTATTTCTGAACTCACTGTGTGTACACGTTTTCACTGACACGTTATATTCTCATTTATTTTCACAGCATTTAAAACTAGCACAGTCTTTTTTTTTTTAAGATTTTATTTTTGCTTTGATCTCTAACACATCATACAACATAAGACAATACATTACAGGACAAAACCTCAGGAAAAAATATGTTAGGCTGATACAGGGTGGCAATAAAACGGTATGGTATAAAACGGTACTAACACAATACAATTTCAGTGAATTGTGAAAACTTAGTCAAGGAAAAAATCCATCTGGTCGTTGGTGTATTTTCTATATAACAAGGAAGGGATGCCAAATTCTATAGAATGTTTTGCTTTTGTTTCTTAACCAGTATGTTAGCTTTTCTAGAGGTGTACAGCTGTTGACTTCTGATAGCCACAAATGTATTGGGATGGCACTTTCAGATTTCCACTTCTTGGCAATCAGTAACAAAGTTTCTATAAGCTTTATTGCATGGCTCTGCCTGGGGAAATTTCCCAATAAACAAATCTCTGGATCCATTGGGAAGGCAGTTTTATCAATCAATTATATCAGATATAATGCGGCATACTTTTTGCCAGAATACATAAACCAGGACGAAGTGGATTGTAAAAAGGTTCCTTCATCTATACCACATCTGAAGCAAATGGGTGAAAATTTTTTTTGTTGAAATTATGCAATCTAGATGGTGTGAAATAAAGCTGATGAAGAAAATTAAATTGAATTAATCTAAATCTGGAATTCAAAGAAGACATGACACCGTCCTTACATAGTTCACTCCATACTTCGCCATCTATTTCTGGATTTGTCTAATTCAGGTAGTGGTTTATTTGTCATAAAAGAATTGTATATTCTAGAGATTGTCTTTTATAGTAGTTGACTCGAATAACAGAGTTGCTCCAGCTGCGTTAAACTTGGTAACTTCAGCTGAGTCTTGACTCTTAGGAAGTCTCATAATTGCAAGTAGCCAAAGAATTCCTTATTACTTAAACTATGTGGCAAAATGTGTTATGGTCTGATGAGACCAATTCCAAAAGGTATAATAATTCCATAATTCCTAAAGGTATGTTTGGCACAAAAAAGCACATCACCAAAAGAACACCATACTCATGGTGAAGCATGGTGGTGGCAGCTTTGTGCTTTAAGGCTGCTTTTCTTCAGCCAGAACTGGAGCTTTTATCAAGGTGGAGAGAATCATGAATAGCTACAAATACCAGTCGATTTTAGTGCAAAACATTCAGGTGTCTGCTGGTGAGATGAAGATGAAAAGGAATTTCACCTTTCAGCATGACAGTGACCCAAAGCATACATCCAAATCAAGAAAGGAATGGCTTAATCGAAAGAAGACCAATGTTTTTCAATGGCCTAGCCAGATTCCAAATCTAAATCCAACTAAAAATCTGTGGGGTGACCTGAAGTGGGTTGTGCCCTCACAATTTGACAGAACTAGAATGTAAGAAAGAGTGAGAAAATATTGCCAAGTTAAGATGTGCCATGCTGATAGACTCCTATCCAAAAAGAATGAGTGGTGTAATAAAATCAAAAGGTGCTTCAGCAAATTATTAGTTTAGGGGTGTGCACACTTATGCAACCAGGTTATAGTGAACTTTTTATTTTTCTTTTTTTCCCTAAAATTTTTCTGATTGTTTTTCAGTTTATTTGTACACTTTGCAATTTCACAAGTTAAGATGTGCCATGCTGATAGACTCTTATCCAAAAAGACTGAGTGGTGTAATAAAATCAAAAGGTGCTTCAGCAAATTATTAGTTTAGGGGTGTGCACACTTATGCAACCAGGTTATAGTAAACTTTTTATTTTTCTTTTTTTCCCTAAAATTTTTCTGATTGTTTTTCAGTTTATTTGTACACTTTGCAATTTCACAATAAAGGTAGAAAAGGTTCTGGCATTATTTAGCTTGGTTTCATTTTTTACAACACAAAAACCTGCCATTTTAACAGGGGTGTGTAGACTTTTTATATCCACTGTATTTTTCCCCTTCTGTTTAGCAAGCCGTAGGATTTTTTTCCGGTCTTGATAACGGAGCATTGGAAGCGAGGTTGGTCTAGGAGGTTTATAAGGATTCGGCATCGGGTTCGAGGTTCGGTGGGCCCGCTCAATATCCAACAGTTCAGGAAAGTGTTGTGCGCCCAAGATGCTGGGTAACCATTCGGCGAAGAACTTAACGGAGTCACTGCCTTCCTGCAGACCTACTATACGTATGCTGTTTCACCTGCTGTAGTTTTCCAGGTACTCCACTTTGTTTTTCAAAAGTTCGTTATTTTCTTGTATCTGTTTCACCAGATCTATCCTACATACTTAGATCTAACCATCTATCCTACGTACTCCGTCTT